GTAGGACACAGCAAAGCATGCTGGGTAAAATCACTGCCACATACAAATACTTTAGTATGATTACTATATAACACACACACACACACACACACATAATTCAGAACCATTAGCCTACTGTGTTTTTGCACACAGAAGAATTAGACCTCCGCATTTAACCCATCCATGCAGTGAAACACCACATACACACTAGTGAACACACACTAGGGGGCAGTGAGCACACTTGCCCGGAGCGGTGGGCAGCCCTATCCGCAGCGCACAGGGAACAGTTGGGGGTTAGGTGCTCAAAGGCACTTCAGTCACATACCGTCGGCTCAGGGGATCTAACCAGCGACCTTCCGGTCACAAGGCTCGTTCCCTAACCTCCAGCCCACGACTGCCCCCATACACACACATACACACACACTACTCACACACACACACTCACACACACAAACATAATTAACTGGTTATGTTGTAAACAGAGTGGTTCAGAGCGGTTTGGTGTGAAACGCTCCGTTCTAGAGAAACTTACCGAGTCAGAACTGTTCACAGTGGTGCTGATAGGAACCAGACGTCCACCTCTAAAAGCTCCCTCACAGAAAGTTACTACATGAAATGGTTATGAATGCACTGCCTGATGGCTGAGACACTGTTTTAAGATAGTTTTGAGAAGATTTTGGACTAAAACGTCTTCATGTAGGTTCACTGGTGGTTCATGCAACATCAACCTCTGAATTACAAAGGAATTTTGAAAAATCAGTGGACTTCCCCTTTAATCTGAGCAGTGTTTATAGAGGAGGATGGTAAGGATGACCCAGTCTGGGTGTTATTGACTTTGAGTGGACTGATCCATATAAATCTGCGGGAGGTTCAGTGTCTTATAGAGGTTATAAACGTGGAGAGGCTTTGAGTGGGCGGAGTTATGGAGGGTGAGGAGTTAACTCGTGATTTAAAGTCTGCTGCATGATTAATGCTGCTGTGCATCTGCTGCAGGAGATTAGACTGCACACCATCTGTGCTGACGGCCGAGAAACACAGTTCTACACAAACCTCTGAGAGAATCACAGCTCATCGTGAAGCTCAGAGTGAATCAGTTACACATGAAACTCAGAGTGAATCAGTTACACATGAAACGGAGAGTGAATCAGTTATACATGAAGCTCAAAGTGAATCAGTTGTATTTGAAGTTTAGAGTCAATCAGTTAAACATGAAGCACAGAGTGAATCAGTTATACATGAAGTTCAGGATGAATCAGTTATACATGAAACTCAGAGTGAATCATTTATACATGAAACTCAAGGTGAATCAGTTCTACATGAAACTCATTTACATGAATGTGAATGCACAAACTCATATACATGAATCTGTTCTACATGAAGCTCAGAGTGAATCAGTTATACATGAAGCTCAGATTGAATCAGTTATTTATAAAGTTTAGAGTGAATCAGTTATACATGAAATTCAGAGTGAATCAGCTACACATGAAACTCAGAGCGAATCAGTTACACATGAAACTCAGAGCGAATCAGCTACACATGAAACTCAGAGTGAATCAGTTATACATGAAACTCAGAGTGAATCATTTATACATGAAACTCAGAGTGAATCAGTTATACATGAAACTCAGAGTGAATCAGTTATACATAAAACTCAAAGTGAATCAGTTGTACATGAAACTCAGAGTGAATCAGTTATACATGAAGCTCAGAGTGAATCAGTTACATGTCAACCCATAAGTGAATCAGTTATATATGATGTTGAGAGTGAATCAGCTATATGTGATGCTATAAATGAATCAGTTGTACACACAGCCCAGAGTGAATCAGTTATATGTGTCACCACGAGCTATAAACACAGCTTCAGCGCTCCTTCTCATAGACTCTAGAACTCTCTGGAACTGTACTGGGACACTGTTCTTCCAAAAGACATTCGCTCGCTGGGTGTGGTGTCGATGGTGGTGGAGAATGCGGGTAAAATGATGTAAATCATTGTCATCCTCATCAAGCCATTCAGTGTCCTGTGCATTGGAGGGCTGAGACCCTCCCATTAGAACAGAACTGTTTTCATATAATGTAACTGATGTATACGGTCAGTGCGTATATGGAGTGTTTGTGTTTTACAGTCTCAGCCTTGATTTAAAACTGAAACTCTCAGTCTTTATGGATTCAGAGCTCATGAGTAGATCATAAACACGACCACGTATCCAAACAGCTCCAGAACACTGAGTTTCAGGAACTAAAGCAGGTCAGAAACGTCTTCAGTTCACATTTCAAACGACCTGCGTCAGCATTTGTTTGGAAGAGCGCCCTCCTCTGGGCGTCTCAGCCTGATTATTTGGTGCTTCAGGGTTCTAATGGCAACATTCTCACTTGTTCTAATGAGCTGCATCTGTCTGTCTATCTACACTGTTAAAAAATGGTTCTTCAAGGGTTCTTTAAGAAAATAGTTTTAAATAGAACCATAAACACTTCTATATAGCACCAAAAGGGGTTCTGCTATTGTTATAATGTCAGACTTGTTAAAATAGAAGAACCTTTTTGGTGCTATATAGAACCCTTTTCTAAAAGATTCTATATAGAGCCATATAACACATTCTCCATCAGTCTGAAGAACAATTTCACCATGCAGAGAACCCTTTAATCCTGCAAATGGTTTGTTGAGTGTTCATGGTTCAATATAGAACCATTTTTTTTACTAAGGAACCCTTGAAGAGCCATCTTTTTTAAAAGTGTAGAAAGATGACAGATTAGAGGAAAATACATTATAAAGTATCTCAGTAAGGAAAATGTTGGGCCACCAGAACAGCCTCAGTGCTCCGTCTCACAGAGTCTACAGTCTGTGGAGCTGTTCTAGAGGGATGGAGCAAGGTGTAAATTACTGGGGGTCCCAGGGGGTCCACAACCTCCTAATTAGTCTCTTGGACAGCCTGAGTGTCTCAAATTTTAAAATTCCCTGAAAATAAACTTATTATGAAGTTCTGCTGTCTGTTTGGGAAAAACAGTCACTCCAATCCAGATTCAGTGAAGCTGATTGTTTATCTGCTTCACCCACAATCAACTTCTGTCTTTGGTGTTCTTAACTAACTAACAGCTCTGCCTCAGGGTGGCGCTGTAGCAGACTGGTTCACCCAGTTGGTCCTATATAGTCTAGAAACTGTAACTCTGCCCGGATTCCTCTGAAAAACTTTACAATGAGCTGCAGCAGATCTGTAAATCTGAAAACTCGCCCAGTTTCCCAAGAGTTTGGAGTGAAGAGTGACTGTTCCTCATTTCTCACACTGAAGACAGAAGAGGAGACGAGGAAGATCTCAGTTACTGTGAGGAAGAGCGCAGAACCGCACTAGAACAGAGACTCTACAGAAGAGGAGACGAGGAAGATCTCAGTTAATGTGAGGAAGAGCGCAGAACCGCACTAGAACTGAGACTCTACAGAAGAGGAGACGAGGAAGATCTCAGTTACTGTGAGGAAGAGCGCAGAACCGCACTAGAACAGAGACTCTACAGAAGAGGAGACGAGGAAGATCTCAGTTAATGTGAGGAAGAGCGCAGAACCGCACTAGAACTGAGACTCTACAGAAGAGGAGACGAGGAAGATCTCAGTTACTGTGAGGAAGAGCGCAGAACCGCACTAGAACAGAGACTCTACAGAAGAGGAGACGAGGAAGATCTCAGTTAATGTGAGGAAGAGCGCAGAACCGCACTAGAACAGAGACTCTACAGAAGAGGAGACGAGGAAGATCTCAGTTACTGTGAGGAAGAGCGCAGAACCGCACTAGAACAGAGACTCTACAGAAGAGGAGACGAGGAAGATCTCAGTTACTGTGAGGAAGAGCGCAGAACCGCACTAGAACAGAGACTCTACAGAAGAGGAGACGAGGAAGATCTCAGTTAATGTGAGGAAGAGCGCAGAACCGCACTAGAACTGAGACTCTACAGAAGAGGAGACGAGGAAGATCTCAGTTACTGTGAGGAAGAGCGCAGAACCGCACTAGAACAGAGACTCTACAGAAGAGGAGACGAGGAAGATCTCAGTTACTGTGAGGAAGAGCGCAGAACCGCACTAGAACAGAGACTCTAAAGAAGAGGAGATGAGGAAGATCTCAGTTACTGTGAGGAAGAGCGCAGAACCCGCACTAGAACTGAGACTTTATAGAATATAACCCATAGAGTCATGATCTGGCATGATTTGATGCTCTGTATTTATTAGTGACCCTTATTTGTCCCACAACGGGGAAATTTCACCTCCGCATTTTGACCCGTCTGGGCAGTGAAACACCACATACACACTAGTGAACACACACACTAGGGGGCAGTGAGCACACCCACCCGGAGCGGTGGGCAGCCCTATCCACAGCGCCCGGGGAGCAGGTGGGGGTTAGGTGCTCAAGGGCACTTCAGTCACGTACTGTCGGCTCAGGGGATCAAACCGGCGACCTTCCGGTCACAGGGCTGGTTCCCTAACCTCCATAGAAATCAAAATAGCTGATAATTAAAAGGTGGTTAATGGTTAGTGTGTGTTTTTCGTTGGAGGGGCTCATTCTGGTTTAATGCTGATTGAAGCATCAGCGCCGCTGCAGTTAGCCAACGCTGGAGTACCCCACCAAGATGGACCCCCCGAATGCCAGGGGGTATTTCGCACACCGGGATGGAACACGTTCCTCTAAAAGATGCTCCCTCGTCTGGTGTTTGATGATGGTGTGCTGCAGCGCAGATCACTGAACTGTGTATGAAGCGTGTTTTTCTCAGGAGACGCCTGATGGAATCTTAAAAAGACCCAGATACATTTATGTATGAGTTAAAGTCATGACGATGGTGATGGTGATGGAGTGTGTGGGTGGTCATTATGGTCTGTAGAGTTTCCTGTTGAGCGTTTTCAGCGTTTATGGTGTTTGTGTTCTTGGTTCTAGATCAGCTGTAGAAGATGAAGTTTGTTTTTTCTCATTAAAGCTCAGATAAACCATGTTTATCAGAACATACTCAGCTCGTCCTTCAGACCAACACGGTTTCTCCTTTAGAGCCCG